ATATAAAATACTGAGAGGAATTGACAAGGTGGACAGAGACAATGTTCCAGAGATGGGACATAGCAACATGGGGACACAGTTAGAAATTGAGGACACAGATGAATCACAAGGATGTTAAGAAGTGTTTCTTCAGTCACACAGTAGTCAGGTAATGGAATAGTTTGGGAAGCTTTAAGTAGAGGTATGATAAAGCTCACGGTTCAGGGAGAGTGACCTAGTAGCGACCAGTGAAGAGGAGGGGCCAGGAGCTAGGACTCAACCCCTGCAACCTCAACTAGGTGAATATTAAGCAAGTACACACACACACACACACACACACACGCACATCGGCGAAGGGCAAAAAGACCGCAAACAGAGTAAAGGCTAGGCGGCCAAATTCTGCAAACCTCACTCAAGGAAAAAGATCTTGGAGTGAGTGTAATACTGAGCACATCAACCAGATAACTGCTGCAGCGTATGGGCGCCTGGCAAACCGATACCTCAGTAAGGAATCGTTTAAAACTCTCTACACCGTGTACGTCAGGCCCATATTGGAGTATGCAGCACTAGTTTGGAACCCACACCTGGTCAAGCACGTCGAGAAATAAGAGAAAGTGCAAAGCTTCGCAACAAGACTAGTCCTAGAGCTAATGGGAATGTCCTACGAAGAAGGGTTAAGAGAAATCGGCTTGACGACACTGGAGGAAAGGAGGGCTAGGGAAGACATGATAACGACTTACAAAATACTACGAGGAATTGACAAGGTGAACAAAGACAGGATGTTCCAGAGATGGGACACTGAGACAAAGGGTCACAATTGGAAGCTGAAGCCTCAGATGAGTCATAGGGATGTTAGGAAGTATTTCTTCAGTCATAAATTTATCAGGATGTGGGATAGTTTGGAAAGTGACGTAGTGGAGGCAGGAACCATACAGAGTTTTAAGACGAGGTTTGATAAAGCTCATGGAGCAGGGAGAGAGTGACTTAGTAGTGATTATTGAAGAGGCTGGGTAAGGAGCTATGAATCGGCCCCTGCAACCACAAATAGGTGAGTACATACTCACACACATACGCACACACACACACACACCACACACACACACACACACACACACACACACACACACACACACACACACCAGTGAAGAGGCGGGGCCAGGAGCTTGGACTTGACCCCTGCAACCTCAACTAGCTGAGTACAACTAGGTGAGTGTACACACACACACACACACACACACACACACACACACACACACACACACACACACACACACAAACAAATACACACACACATGCATGTCCTAGGAAGAGAGGGAACTCGACGTGAGGACACTGGAGGACAGAAGAGATAGGGAGGATTTGATAATGGCATATAAAATACTGAGAGGAATCGACAAAGTGGACAGACAGGATGTTCCCGAGATGGGACTCAGCAACAAGGGGTCACAATTGGAAGTTAAAGACTCAGATGAGCCACAGGGATGTTAGGAAGTACTTCATCAGCCATAGAGTTGTCAGGAAGTGGAATAGTCTGGAAAGCGATGTAGTGTAGGCAGGAACCGTACATATTTTTAAGAAGAGGTATGATAAAGCCCATTGAGCAAGGAGAGACTAACCGTGTAGCGACCGGTGAAGAGGCGCGGCCAGGAGCTGTGAATCGACCCCTGCAACCACAATTAGGAGAGTAAACACACACACACAAACACACATTTATGAAAGGCTAGATCTGCTGCTTACACTAACCCTTGACATTTAATGTCACCAAGATTGTCCTGCAACTCCTAAGCGGTAATTAGTGAGCAATAATGTCTATTAATTGTCGCACAAGCGTAACGTAAGGAATATGTCAACAACATGGCGATGGTGAACACGACTATGCAGATGGCTAGAAGAGCCAACAGAGCAATGCAAAATTATTAATAATGAGACTTCAGTCATCAGGAATTAGACTGCGAGTGCTTGGAGCCACATGGAGGACTGGAAACGTGGAGAGGTAGGTTGTTAGAGGTAGCAATGGAAAACTGCATGAATCAACATGTCAAGAAATGCAACAAGAAAGAGAAAAGGCGACGAACCATTGTGGCTGGATCTCGTGTTCACCCTAAATAAATCTGTTTACAGGACATTGAACACGAAACGCTTCATGGTAATAGCGATATCTCCATACTGAAGTTAGAATAACTTGACGAAGTGACCGTAGAGAGAAACACAGAGGTGTGGAGGTGAGGAGATTACACCGGTGTGAGGTGTTTACTATGAAGTGTTCCATGGAAAAGTGACCTAGATAAAAAAAAAAAAAACATACCACGGACGAGGATAGAAGCCGCGATCAGAGTCTCGAAACTCCAGAATGTCGCGTTAGCCACTGGACCAGCTAGCCACAATAAGATTCATCCAACTAGGTACATTTCTACACGGTAGGAAGGTTAGCACAGGCACCATTGTGACCACAAATGCAAGTTTTTACAGACGAATCTCCAGCTAGCGTGGCCGTGACGAACTCTAGCTCAAGTCTTATTGTGGCTAGCTGGTCCAGTGGCTAACGCGACGGTCTGGAGTTTTGAGACTCTCTGATCGCGGGTTCTATCCCCGTCCGTGGTATGGTTTGTTTGCAATCGTGTCATTACTATTTCGTGAGTCATAGTGACCTATAAGAAGTTATTACCCTGAAGCAGGAGAAGCACAGGCAACAACTGAGTGAGCCCATGACTCACTCAGAGTTGATGGGGTGCGAAAGATTAAGGTATAAGAACATAGAAGACATGTAGAAGGCAAATAACACCAGAGAAGAGAGAAACGAGGATAAGAACCAGAAATGAATACACATGGATGAGACGTAAGGAAGAACGACAATTCCGGAATGACATAACATCGAAAGACAAATCTAAGTTGAAGTTACTATGCAGCTTCATCAGAAAGAAGTCAACTCTGAAAAACAGAAAATGTGAATGAAAAGAAAGAAAGGAGGACCACTAAGAATGACCTAAAAGTTTGTGAGGAGCTGAACAAAAGATTCCTGGAGGAATTCCAGTGGTCTCAGAAACACTGAAAGAGAGTCGATGAGGCAAAATGTACCAACAAGTACTGGACATAACACACACAACAGAAGGAGAAGTGAAGAAACCACTGATAAACTAGATACCTCGAAGGCACTGGCCCAGAACAACGTCACTCCATGAATTCCGAGAATGGGAGGACAAGTATAAGAAATACTTGCAGCGATAATTAATAGGTCAGTTGAAACAAAGAAGCTGCCAAATGTCTGAAAAATACTCAAATGTAGTCCAGACATTTAAAAAAAGGGACAGATAGGCAGCAATAAACCACTGACCACTGTTAGTGACATGTATCAGACCACATGGAAAGGAGTGCATTAATAAGCAACAGCCTGCACAATTTTAGACATAATAAAGCCTGTCTCACAAATCTTCAAGCTTTTCTATAGTAACGTAACAAAAGTTAGGCAAGAAAGCGAGGAATTGGTGGACAGTATATTACAGGATTGTGAGAAGGTATAGCGCTTTATAAGAGACAGGGACGCAAGCCAGAGACAGGGATAACAGCAAGATAACTGCAGTTGATTTAGGAAAACTTGACAGAAAAAAACAGGGAGATATTTTCCGGGAGGAAGTATCAGAATGGGCGAGTGTGACGAGTCGAGTTCCACTAAGGTCAATATGTAAACAAATGCTATTTCTAGTGCATGTGAACAACATGATAAGAGAAATCGTGTCAGATGAGACCCTGTTTGCAGATAGCATGAAAATAATGAGGAGGTTAAAAACAGGAGCAGGAAAGAAAAGACTTGAAATGGCTCTGACAAGCTGGTTATTAGAATTTAACCCCAGTAAATATAATTTTTTCGAAATAAGGGATGAGCACAGACGGCAGAAAACAGAGTACAGGCTCAACATTTGCAAACCTTCTTGAAAAGGAAATACCTCGGGATGAGCATATTTCCTAGCACTTTTTCTGAGGAAGCTTCATCTGAATAACTACAACAGCAGAGGAGACACTGGCAGATTAAACGGCAGCTTTTAAAAGCCTCAACAAGGACCATATACACAGCATATGTCAAGCTCAACTGAGATTAATGCAGTGCCAGGCTGCGTACAGAGGGCGAGCGAGAGAGTACTCACCTATGGTACAGAGCCTCAGTTCCTGGCTTTACCTCTCCACATGCCGCTCTTAGATTCACTCTCTACTGGTTGCCTGACCTCAACCATAATTCTGCTAAAACTCTGTGTGGATACTTGTTCTACCACCTCGCTGAGCAGGTCATTCAACTACTTGATAATTCCAAGGGAAAAGAAATATTTTCTAACATCCCTGTGACTTACCCGTATATTTGACCTCCGCTTGTGTCCTTGTGTACCTAGCCTGCCTCTCTGACTCACTCTGTCCATTCTGTCTCTTTCTCTCACTACTTCGTACGTCGTAATCATGTTAGGCAAGGTTTTTATGTTCTCTGTTGCAGTAAGGCATTAGAAAACAGGCTTTTTTTCTGTGTAATGTAGTCAGGGCTAGTTTCGTTGCAAACTTTTGCAGTTTAAAATAATCCATAGTGTCCTGTGGCCGGGTTGCACGCTCTCGACTCACACGCTTGAGTGTCCGTGGCTCAATCCCTGGCATGGGAGGAAACGTTGGGCATGTCCTTGTTCACGTGGCAGTAAGTAGGTACATTGGTGTTAGTCACCATCCACCTGTTGTTCCTGTTCATCTAGCAGTAAGTAGGTACCTGGTGTTAGTCGACTGGTGTGGATGGCATCCTGGGAAATAAGACTGAAGAACCACAATGAAAGCTAGTCACTTTCTTTGTGCTTAACAATACCTTATTACATGTAAACTACAGTTTGCATACTGCAAAAAGAAAGAAACATTTGGATCTGATTTGATTTGATTTTCAAAACAAGATAGTCATCGATGACGCATTGACTTTCTTGGCTTATCCTGGGTAGGTAACCCTCCCTACCCCGGCTTAAAAATCCAAACAAATCTTATCTTATCTTACTCTTCTCCAGACACGCCTGTGTGTGTGCCTGGTCAGCGGTGGGTGTACGGCGTGGCCCGGGACGAGGTGGTTCATGTGGTCTGCCAAGTGGACTCCCAGCCCCAGGAAGTGTCCTTCAGCTGGGTGTTCAACACCACGGGTGACACCACCGACACTCCCCACGCTGACGTGACTCAAAACAACACTCTTAGTGTGGTAAGTAAAGGAAGCTTTCTAGCAGGTCCTCTGCAAGTTGCAAATGATTGTAATCATGTCTTCTGCTAGTTTTTATTAGTAGTCAGAAGAAAGTGAGCTAGATTTTAAATTTTAGTAGTAGTTGTGAGCAAATCTGCTAATTTTAGTACTAGTTGTGAGCAAATATTCTGCTAGTTTATAACGGTAGCAGGTATTCAGCTAGCTTTTTGAAGCAATTAGGAGCAGGTCCTTTCCTGCGACGCTGAAATAGTGTAAGCGGTTTATGGCTAGTGAACAAATAGTGAACTTAAGGTTTTAAACATTACGTTACTAGCGGCACGAACAAAACAAAGAACCAATGAAAGCGCTTCTAAATTTTAATAAAATTTATTAAATAAACAAAAACAATTATACATCAGTTGATATATAAAGTATATAAATTAACAAATAATAAAATTATATACATATAAATGATATTTATTAGTAGTAGGTAAGTGAAATATGCCAGAGAGATAAGTGGATTATCCTGGATTATCCTGGATTATCCTGGATTATCCTGGTTGGTAAGAATCCTCAGAGTCACTCAGTTTGCGTAATAGTGACATATACATTATACTCTATTATACTTTATATAATATTAAAAGGAAGACTCAAGGCTGGCTGGCTGCCTGGCTGGCTGGCTGGCTGGCTGGCTGGCTGGCTGGCTGGCTGCCTGCCTGGCTGCCTGCCTGGCTGCCTGCCTGGCTGCCTGCCTGGCTGCCTGCCTGGCTGCCTGCCTGGCTGCCTGCCTGGCTGCCTGCCTGGCTGCCTGCCTGGCTGCCTGCCTGGCTGCCTGCCTGGCTGCCTGCCTGGCTGGCTGCCTGGCTGCCTGCCTGGCTGCCTGCCTGGCTGCCTGCCTGGCTGGCTGCCTGGCTGGCTGCCTGGCTGCCTGCCTGGCTGCCTGCCTGGCTGCCTGCCTGGCTGCCTGCCTGGCTGGCTGCCTGGCTGCCTGGCTGGTTGGCTGCCTGGCGAAACTTATTGAAAATGTTATAATTTGTATTATGCAGAATTTGTAGTTAAAGTTTACTGTACTTACATGAAAGAAAAAGTGATTTTAATGTGTCTTGTTGAATAATAAATTACCATCGCACTCACCATTTACCACTAACACTGGACAAACCCACTGATATAAGTACATGTTGCTGCATTTAACGACAAATTATTTTTACAAAGATGTATGCAGTATACCTGAGATGGATTACAGTGTGCTGCAGACACTACTTCTCTTCTTCCTCCCATGAACCTAGACACTCCTCAAATTCTAACAGTTCCCGGGTGTCCTGTGAACCCGCTTTATCACAAAGAACAATCAGAAAATGGTAAATTAAAACTATATAGATGGCTAATTTTTCCTTAACATGAATTCCTTCCTCCAACACTTCGTACATTTTCCATACACAAATAACCCGCACATAAAAGACAGAAGCTTACGACGACGTTTCGGTCCGACTTGGACCATTGACAAAGTCACCAAGTCGGACCGAAACGTCGTCGTAAGCTTCTGTCTTTTATGTGCGGGCTATTTGTGTATCGTTCCAGTCACGGTATTGTGCCTTTTTGTTATTTATTTTCGTACATTTTGTTCCTCTGTGTACAGAGTGTAGTGGGAATGGGACAAGTTAGATCCATTAGTAGAGTTTTAGAGAACGTGAACATGTGAACGCTTGCTAGTACAGCTATGACACGCCACACAGAGAGACAGAACTGATGTGGTGTGAGCCAGCCAGGGGCATGAGAGGGTTTATGGTCCGAGGAGGTAACATATCCCAACCATCAACCCTTCCTTTGAAATGCCATATTACAAGAACACATTGTTAGCTGCCACATTCTAAGATGGTGGACACATCCTCGAAGGCTATGACTGCCTTCTGAATGGTCGTGATGATGTGCTGGAAAGTGATTTTGTATGGTATAAACTGGATGCAGAATAAATACTCCAAAAAAGAAAACTTCACTGTTTCTGTCAAGATCACCCAACATTGCATTTAGTAAATGTCACACTCCCATTCCAGGAACACTGTTACAGTGCATGTCACACCCTATCCCTGGAACACTGTTACAGCACATGTCACACCTCTGCGTCATCTCATATATAGTGAGTAATTCAGAACTTGTTGGAGTTGCAAATAATTTTAACCCTTTATCTAGCATGACAAAGGCATTACAAAATATGCACCACTGGCAACACATAAAAAAAAGTCTTGATGAATAGTACTATTGTAAAAAATGTTAATAAAAATCCAAATTAGAAGGAACGAGAAAATACATCTCCTAAAATTAAATTTAATAATATTCATTTATACCTTAACTCTCTGGTTTCCTAACAGGTGATACGAGACATTACAGCATCTTATCTCTCATCCAGATGAGATGCTGTCCCAGACCAGATAATTATATTTATTTTTTGACTTACGTGGCAAGAAGCTAATACAAACAATAGCAATGGTGTGTCAGACTCATCTCTATGTAGATGAGTCTGTAAGTGGAGTGTATTCATCATATTATGGTGTGTAAATATAATTATTTAATTCCAGCCATGACTGGGAAGCTGGAAATGCATCACTTGTGTTCTATGTGTGTCAAGATTTGTGTTCTATCTTTTATGATTGGAGCTGAGTGTTTAATTAATATTTGCTTACCGCACTGATTCTGTATCAGTAGAATACAACAAATAATTATAATTGAATTTCTTGATAGATGAGTTATCAGTGGATGTACACAATTTATATTGAAATTATATATGACTACCTCATCATCAGCAGTCCAGATCAAGTTGGTAGGCACCCAGATATAATAATATTTTACTAAAATCTCCACAAAATAACGTTATAGAAAGCATGGGTTTTTGGGTTCGTGTCATGAATGCTATGATCGTCATGACCTTATGAAATATACATATAAACATTCCTTAAAGCATAACGGCGCTGCCCATGTTACATACATTTTCTATAATTTAAAGTGTTACACATTTATGAAGGACCAGGATAGCGTATTAACTAATAAGTTATCCTTACATTCGTAAAATTTTGTTCCTCATGTTGTTCCCCTCAAGGGAGGTTCCTTCACGCTGGTGAGGGGCTTTTGATCTAGGGGATTGGATCTGTGCTTCGGTTCCCTGAATTGAGTCTGACTACTCTCCCCCCCCACAGGCGCTGTATAATCCTATGGGTTTAGCGCTCCCCATGATTATAATAATACTTATGTTGTTGCTGAAACAAGAAGGATATGATCCACATACATGAGTAACGGAAGAAGAGATTTTCTCCAGTTCGCCTGAAAGTGCTGGAGAGTTGACATCAGTATGGTTTGTTTACAATTGTGTCACTAAGATTTCGTGAGTCATAATGACGGCTTTGTGGTCACAGTGGTGCCTAATCTAACCTTCCTTTGGTGTATAAATATACCTAGTTGGGTGAATCTTATTGTAACTAGCTGGCCAAGTGGATAACGCGTCGGTGTGGAGTTTTACGACTCTCTGACCGTGGGTTCAAGCCCCACCCGTGGTATAGTTTGTTTGCAATCGTGTCGCTACGATTTCGTGAATCAATGCAATTGCCTATTTCTCAGTTGCACTGTAATTCTTCTGATGTTTCTTCAGTTTTTTTGGATGAAAATGTCCATAGTCGTGAAGAGTCTGAAGCACAGATATAGAGATAGTCGCTTATATACTGGCGTCAGGTAAAGTACGTGTAGCAGACGAAGGCATTGGCACTGGTAGGTGGGATACTAAACTGGAAATAGGTCATACACGAGTGAACGGCCACACTTCCAGAAAAATACTGATGTTCATCGAAGAGAGTGCGGTCTAAGTGTTTTAATAGCCCTGGAAACTATCCTGACTTAATCTAATCTACGATCTATGAGCAATAATCAATCACAGGAGAGTGAAACTGGACTGTTCATCAATGGAGAAACTAACTGCTGCTGCTATTAGGACCTAGTAATATGACAAAGAACTTGCCAAAATGTGATTAACATTGGTTCATTCTGTGTCACAGTTTGTGACCATTGTTATGGAACCAAACGGTAGTCATATTTCTTATTAAAGCAATTATCTGTCATATCATTAACGTGTATTCTTCACTTATTTCATCACTGTGTGTGTGTGTGTGTGTGTGTATGTATGTGTGTGTGTGTGTGTGTGTGTGTGTGTATGTGTGTGTGTGTGTGTGTGTGTGTGTGTGTGTGTGTGTGTGTGTGTGTGTGTGTGTGTGTGTGTGTGTATGTGTGTGTGTGTGTGTGTGTGTATGTGTGTGTACTCACCTAGTTGTACTCACCTAGTTGAGGTTGCAGGGGTCGAGTCCAAGCTCCTGGCCCCGCCTCTTCACTGGTCGCTACTAGGTCACTCTCCCTGAACCATGAGCTTTATCGTACCTCTGCTTAAAGCTATGTATGGATCCTGCCTCCACTACATCGCTTCCCAAACTATTCCACTTCCTGACTACTCTGTGGCTGAAGAAATACTTCCTAACATCCCTTTGATTCATCTGTGTCTTCAGCTTCCAACTGTGTCCCCGTGTTGCTGTGTCCAGTCTCTGGGACATCCTGTCTTTGTCCACCTTGTCAATTCCTCTCAGTATTTTGTAAGTCGTTATCATGTCCCCCCTATCTCTCCTGTCCTCCAGTGTCGTCAGGTTGATTTCCCTTAACCTCTCATCATAGGACATACCTCTTAACTCTGGGACTAGTCTTGTTGCACTTTCTCTAGTTTCTTTACATGCTTGACTAGGTGTGGGTTCCAAACTGGTGCCGCATACTCCAATATGGGCCTAACGTACACGGTGTACAGGGTCCTGAACGATTCCTTTTTAAGATGTCGGAATGCTGTTCTGAGGTTTGCTAGGCGCCCATATGCTGCAGCAGTTATTTGGTTGATGTGCGCTTCAGGAGATGTGCCTGGTGTTATACTCACCCCAAGATCTTTTTTCCTTGAGTGATGTTTGTAGTCTCTGGCCCCCTAGACTGTACTCCGTCTGCGGTCT